TAGGGCCTGGGATACAGCATCGTTCACACCTACAATGCTTTGCGGGGTGTCTCTTTGTATAGGATCCTCCCAATTTAGCTAGAGGCGGACTAGAAAATATCTGCCACCCCGAAGTGCTCTTTGCGGGTCCTATCAACATGCTGAAAGCCAGCGGTTTAAAACCAGAGGGAAAGTAAAAAAGGAAAATAAAATAAAAGGGCAAAGCAGGGGAGGTGAGTGGTGCATCGTGTATTGTCCAGAATTAAACAAAAAACAAAAAACAAAAAAAACAAACCAAAACCCACATCCCCTATCTTCAGCAATGATCGGATCCCGCTGTAATAGATCCTCTCACCATTGATCACAAGGGAAAAGTAGCTCCTGGGTCAGGTTTTTATAGCATTTTCCCCGCAGTCCTACCTACCCCGGGTCCTCTGTTTTGCCAAATGGACAAATGTGTTATGGCTGGAATTACTCTTTTCGTGTGTGTGTGTGTGTGTGTGTGTGTGTGTGTGTGTGTGTGTGTGTGTAGATAGATAGCTAGATAGGTAGATAGATAGGTCTATATCTATATATACAGTATGTACTTATCTATCTATTTGTAGATAGATAGATTATATATAGATATGATAGATAGATGATATATAGATATAGATATCAGTGTGTACATATCTATTTCTAGCTACTTATTTATAGATAATTTTTTTTTAATAAAATAACTTGATTGGTAACCCCCCCTGGGTTCCTAGAAAGAAATCCCCAAAATATAAGAAACAGCTTGGGGGAAAGGGGGCAGGGGGAGAACCTCCCCCCGCCCCAAATCACTGATGTAAATTCCCGAAGTATAAACAGTGGCTGCAGTTTGCAAAGAAGCTAAAAGCTGGGAGGCAATTTGCACGCAGAAGTCACTCAGCTACTGTACCAGCAAAATAATTAGCTCCAGCAATCAGGTCCCTTTTGGAAGAGCTTTTAATGAAACCATTTTCTTTAGCCTAAACGAACACGGGGTGTGTGTGTGTGTGTGTGTGTGTGTGTGTGTGTGTGTGTGTGTGTGTGTGTGTGTGTGTGTGTGTACACACATCTCAAGAAACAAAATTGCAAGAGCTGGTACATCTGCTGGGTTCCTAGTCATTGGGTGAGGGGGAGCAAAGACCTCATCAGCAACGATGAAATCAGCCCAGTCACTTTTGGGAGTGTGAATATTTTCTTTCCCATCTCTTTTATCTGATAAACAATATCGATATGGGGTCTGGGGAGGTTTATCCGTGTGCCATCTTCATTATGGCATACTAAATGAAGATGGCTGTATTGTATAGGTTTGGCTGTGGGGGTGGGGGGCAGGAGAAATGATGGGAAGAGGTGGGGACCAGAGGCCGGCCCAGGAGTGTATTGGGACCGGGATTCTGGCTCCCAGCTTGCCAAGGCCTTGACTGTCCCTGTCAAACGGGAGAAAACAAGGCAGGCAAGGGCCAGTCGCCCTCCAGACATAAGACACCTCAATGCTGCTCCTCGACTCTTTAGGGCTCCTAGGACATGAGGGTTGAAGGGACCTCAGGAGGTCACATCTAGTCCAACCCCCTGCTCCAAGCAGCACCAACCCCACCTAAAATCATAGGTGCTGGGGGTTGGGAGGATTTTTTTTTGACATTAAAAAAAATCATAATCATGCT